GTTTTATCCAAATTCAGAGATAGTATATTACTATCACACCATTTCTTTATCTTCTCAAGTTCCTGTGTAACCCATCCAGATAGTTGCTGTAGGTTTTCACCCGATGCCCATATGGTAGTGTCATCAGCAAACAAAACCACTTTCACTAAATCAGAAACCTTGCATATATCATTAATGTATAGTATAAATAATTTAGGTCCCAAAACAGAACCCTGAGGCACTCCACATACAATGTCCAGCTCACAAGGTAGGAGCCAATATTGTTCGTGTGTTCAAATTGATTATGCCTCAAGCTGCTCTCACTCACATTTACCAGCAATGTGAGGCCTGTTACTCTCAGGCACAGCCCTGCAGTATGCTAAAGCCCTCCACAATGAGCTCCTGACAACTGATTTATGACCACCTCCTCAACTCTACTTTAATCACAATTAGTGATCCAGTAGATCAGTCCATTTGTTTTAGTGTTCTACGAATGAGCCAAGTTTGACAGTTGAAATCACCATCATTTTCCATCCCAGCTATTTTAGCTCAATGTGGACCCAATTATGCAGATTTTGCCTGCTCTTTATTTATTCAAGATAGTATAATTTAATAATATGCTGCCTATAATTTTTCAAAAGTAGCTCAATAATTAGAGAATAATGCCTTCTTTTCAGCCAAACAATATTGGCTCCTACCTTGTAAATAGGTACCGTCAGTGTTGTCATGCTTACTGAAAGCATATGGTGCAAGACATAATGAATCCTGGCCTGATTTGTTAGGTTCTGGCCCATCTGTTGGACATGGTGTTCTACAGTGATGAGAAGGAGCGGGTGATTCCACTGCTGGTTAATATCATGCACTATGTAGTGCCTTACCTTCGCAACCACAGGTGATAAACCTTTTTGTCAGGGATGTCCCCTGACTATATGTGTTTTTGTGTTTGGAGACTAACATTACATGTTACTTACAAATTCTACAATTTATCTTTTCACTTAATAAAACAATGAAGTGTAAAATTGAAACTAATCTAAATGTCTATTAAAGATGAAAATAAACATCTTCTTTTTAGTAGTGAGGATGAAGTACAGTGTACTGCCATGTGTTAAAATATGTTTCATGTTTTAGATGAAAACATAATGTTTCCTGTTTCCTGTGGCAGTGCTCACAACGCCCCCAGCTACCGGGCTTGTATTCAGCTGTTAAGCAGCCTAAGTGGGTACCAGTACACTCGTCGTGCCTGGAAGAAGGAGGCCTTCGACCTGTTCATGGACCACACTTTCTTCCAGATGGACTCCTCCTGTGTCAGCCAGTGAGTAGCAGATACAAGTTTTACAGCTGGTGTTAATTTGTAACCTAATTGTAATTACAATTAGATTAAGAAAAAAAACACATTACTCATGATGTACAAGAAGCACTTAAGATCCAAAAAAACAGTATCAGTATATTCTAAAGACATAAATCACTAAGGATCTGTAGTACGTGTGCAGTATTTACTTTTAGTGACTGTTTTAATGCCAGACAATCCTGTCAAAACAGAAAGTGCAAAAACCTTAGACACTGACACATGTTCAGAATGTACTGTTATATGTGCAGGGGAAGATCCATGACTATGTATTTCCAGTGTTCAGGATGTATAGTATAAATGTAGGTTATGTTAATAAAGGACTGTTGAGGCTGTCTGTCCTTTTCTAAAAGTATTAAAAATGTGACCTGTCAACATTCATTAATGACACATGTTATTGCCACATTTACTGTATAAGGCATGTGTCTGTTCGTTTCTCTCTGTATGTTTAAGGAGCAGTAGTCTGACATCAACATTATTTCTCTCATTTTCAGTTGGAGAGCCATCATTGACCACCTGATGACTCATGATAAGACCACATTCAGAGACCTCATGAGTAAGTTTTATGAATCTGTAGTGGCGTTAAATGTGTAAACAACTGTAGATCTTACCACTGGGTGTAGTTACAACTAACACTTGCAAGGTGGTGAGTGTTTTGGCCTTTTCATGTCTTAAGCAGAATTAAATCTGCGTTCTGTATAGTGTCTTGATCCAAACAAGAACTTATTCTAATGTAGTCTGTAGCTCATTTAGCTGCAAAAGATGCTAATGTGACATAGGTAGAGACTGTTAATAGGTTAAAGACTGGCAGGTTATAGATCCTATAATGACGAAGAATGTATTTGTTTCCTTTTAGCCCGGGTGGCTGTAGCCCAGAGCAGCTCTCTGAGTCTGTTCACTAACAGAGATGCTGAGCTGGAGCAGAGGGCCATGCTGCTCAAACGCCTGGCCTTCACCATTTACAGCAGTGAAGTGGACCAGTACCAGAAATACCTGCCAGACATCCAAGGTAAACACTACATACACACACCTACTTAGATTTTACACAGGCAAGCAGCAGCAGTTAACCTTTGTTTAGAGAGACCATTTTCCACAATAAACAGCATAAAAATGAAGAATTACGGACTGAGCGGATAATCAGGTGTGTGTGTGTGTGTGTGTGTGTGTGTGTTCAGAGCGCCTGGTGGAGAGCCTGCGCCTGCCTCAGGTGCCTATCCTTCATGCACAGGTGTTCCTATTCTTTAGAGTGCTGCTGCTGCGCATGTCACCTCAACATCTCACCTCACTGTGGCCCACCATGATCACGGAACTGGTGAGCACTATAACTTGCTGACTGAAGTCTTGCAGATAAACACAGTGACATACACTTACTCAAATTCTCAATGTTCCTGTAGGTTCAGGTGTTTCTACTGATGGAGCAGGAGCTAATAGCAGATGAAGACATATCAAGGTGTGTGATCTATTGATACAACACACTATAGAAAATGATTGCTTCCTGTGACGCTGTATTGGTTTATTTTTTATCGTCCATCTCTAGGACATCAGGGCCATCTGTGGCTGGGTTGGAGACCACCTACTCTGGTGGGAACGGCTTCTCCACTTCCTACAACAGCCAGCGCTGGCTTAACCTCTATCTGTCTGCCTGCAAGCTGCTGGACCTGGCCTTAGCCCTGCCTCCTGAGAGCCTCCCTCAGTTCCAGATGTCAGTACAAACGCACCTGGGTCATAATAGACTTTGCATGTGATTGGGTTTAAGCAGGGAATCAGTAACAGCATAATTTGTTAGATGTGTAAATTCACTGTGCACTTTATTTTGGATGGATAAAAACAGCATGGATGATTGTTGAATGGGGAAAAATGTCCAATCTATATATGGAGTGTATGTGAATGGACACGTGCATGAGATATTTGGGTATTGCACCTTTAATGCTTTGATGACTTGTTAAATTGATCAAAATAGTGTTCTGTCTGAGCGAGTCCTGCCTCATTACAGGTACCGCTGGGCCTTTGTCCCGGAAGCGTCAGATGATTCGGGTTTGGAAGTGAGACGTCAGGGGACTCATCAAAGAGAGTTTAAGCCCTATGTGGTCCGACTGGCCAAGCTGCTGAGGAAACGAGCAAAGGTATTGCATTGTCTCTGTATCTACACAAGGGTATTAAACCATGGAGATGAATGACTGCCTCTGACAAAGAGTATGTTTATGGAAAACGCTCATTAAAGAACCTTTTTTTTTTTTTTGTTTATTAATCTTCACCTGCAAATTCCCCTATGGATCTTTTTACTTCAATAACTTATCTACTTCCTCTTCTCATAGAAAAACCCAGAGGAGGATTGCTCCACCCGAACCTTGTCTTGGGAGCCAGGACACCTAATGCTGACCCTCTACGTGATCCGTAGCATGGAGCAGCTGCTGCCTTTCTTCAACCTGCTCAGCCAGGTGTTCAACAGTAAGGCCAGCAGCCGCTCAGGCTCTGCCTACACTCACAACCCCAGTGACTCCTCCTTCTCCAGCCACAAGGAGGGTCACAAACTGGAGAGCCAAAAAGTTTTCTGGAGTCGAGCTCGACAGAGCATCGAGGAGATGGTGGAAAAAGACTTTTTAGAGGGACTCATCAAGATGTGAGGACACGGCACTGGGAGGAACAGGGGCATTAATGCATAACTGATCAACACTAGTGAAAAACCTCAACTTGTACATTAAAGAACAAGGGAGTACAAATGGGGAAAACTGTTTGTACATTTTTGTATTTGTAATGTGTTATTTTACTTTTCAAAAGCTATTGTATTTGATTTTAATTATTTGTATATACTATATGGAGCAGCGTTGATAACTGACTTTTAATTCATGTGACTCCTTTGGGACAAAGTGAAGATGCTGTGCCATTCCATATTGATTTGACTTAATAAACATTTCTAATGAGAGACTTATATGGGTTAACATGGTAAACAATACACTCGCACTATGTCACTGTCAGTGTATACTGAGCTTAGCCTGAGCTGGTTTATATACATTACTGGGTAGGTTAATATCGCAATCATCATGTAGCGAAGTAAAAAATAAAGTACTGCCTGCTGAATTTTAAGCAGCCTAGCATAAAATGGAAATGCAAGAAGATCCACAGACTCCGAATCCTTTGCAGAGAGATGTTCAGTCTAACTAGAAGCTTCTAAATCAAAAACGAACAAACTAAAGACTAAACTCCCACAGAATCACCAGTCTAATGTTACTGAACCGGAGAAGATATCAGCACCATGGACAGGGACAAAGGCAGCAGCACCGCTGGCTCCTTCATGGCCAAACAGCGGCAGTTATATACGGGGGGCCGTGGTCGAAGGAGTTAGTGCGCTCCATGTGACCTTCATTGTGAGGAGGCAGTATTACAAGCATCAAGCTTGGTTGTAGAGTAGCTTTATTAACCGTTCAAACCCTGCAAACACCTCAATCGCTTTTCTCGTACTCTCCCAGCTCTCGCGATAGTGCGTCACCTGACTCAGAAGCGGAGGCGGGGCGCGGGGATAAATATAAAAACATTAATAATTAAATAAACAAACGGATGTGAATCCGCCGATATCACCGACATCCTACGACCCGGTTTCAAGCGACCATCGTTGGTGCCTGCAGGCTTACGGTGGGCCGTGCGGGGGAAGAAGCGTCCAGCCGGGGAGGAGCAGGAAACCGCTGAAGTGGATGGTGGGGATGATGATGCTATTCAGGCCCTCATGTTTCTCTGCACGCCCCGCTAATACACAGGGACTGCCGGACTGGTGGTGGTGGTGAGGATTATCCAGGAGGCTGGAGGAAGGAGGAAGAGGGGGGAGGCAGCAAAGCGCATCATCCGGAGAGGACTGTTTGTCAGAGAGGCTAACCGACAGATAACGCGGAACATTACGAAATTAATCGAAAATCAAAAAGAAAAACCAAAATCAAAACCCGGAATAGGCTTTTGCACGTGGATAATTTTGCTTATTTAGCCTATAGACTATAATTTTCTAAGGATAACGTTACTGGCCTTCAGTGAAGAAAGTCATTTCATGATTATTGGTGAAACGCACGCAGATCCAACGCAACTGAGTGGGAATCAGCCAATTTCAGTATTGTACTCACACCAATTGCAGTTGTAGTCGTCAGAAAGTGTCCCACTATTTCTTTGTAGGGCTGTGTATCTGTGGTGTTTTCGGGGGCAGCTGGGATTGCTGAGGTTGGGCGTTCATTTCGCTTTTTGGGGGTGTAGGACCACATTGGACGCTCCATATTCGAGGTTGGACTCCACGGAGAGAAGATGTCGGGTCAGACGCTGACGGACCGCATCGCCGCGGCGCAGTACACCCTGACGGGATCCGAGGTGTGCCGAGCTGTGTGTAAAGCCACCACACATGAACAGACGGCTCCAAAGAAGAAGCACCTGGAATGTGAGTAGTTTTCTATCTATTTTGTCCTTTAAGTGCCATAATGGATGCACCCATCCATTTCTCCGGTGTCTGTCAATGTGCTTGGAGGGGTTCCACACAATGTGTGCTTGCATACAATACAGCAAACCAAACCTATTACCTAATTAAACGAGGCTTCTTTAACCACTGTGGCGGTCAGGTGAGAAGGGAGGCAAGCCACAAACCAGAAACCTAAAGCCCTACTAACTGGAAACGTTCACCCCATGCTCCTCCAGTGCTATTAAATGCATGCTTGAAAAGGTTAAACATGGTGATGTTAAGTACACATGGCTTTCCTTGGGGTGTTGTCTGTTATGATAGTGCAAAAATGCTTTGTGGCACTGCATATATTGCAGTTTTTTTGTGCAATTTGCTGATGTGTTAATTATTGTACAAACAAGGGAGTGAAGAAATGGAGGTAGTGTGCCAAATGTATTTCAAACACTCAAAAGAAATGATGAGAAGGGCTGTAAAATTTTTGGAAAGTGCTTAATGCAAACACAAACCATAGATATCCAGTTCACTTGAGAGCATTTATTTGTTGCTAGATGTATTTTCAGTGGCGGCACAGTTGGTAAGTGGTTAGCACTGTTACCTCACTGCAAGAAGGTTCTGGATTCGAACCTTACTTTTGACTGGGGTCTTTCTGGGGGGAGTTTGCATGTTCTCCTCATGTCTGTGCAGGTTTTCTCCGGGTACTTTGACTTCCTCTCTCCCACTGGTATAGGTAATGGATATGTATTTTCATAATGGAGTCATTATCTTCAGCGAACATGCAATAAAGTTGAAACGTATGACATAAACCCACAAACTAGCTGCTGGTGGACATAGTGGACAGCAAGTTGTGTTTGGTACAGTGAGCAGTACAAGGGGGCCGATGCTGGAATGGTTTTTGTCTATGCATACGAATGGTACTATATCTGAGGTTTGATATTTTAAACAGCCTATCTCTTTTGTATAAGGATACATGTCCCTAATGTTTTAGTTATGTTCCACTGTTTACACTTGACTTTGTAAGGTATACATCCCTCCAAGGACCTTTGGTAAGAAGTCTGTGAAAGAGAGGCCAAAGCAGGCTAATGAGTACGTCATGAGTCAACACCTAAAAGCACAATGTAACTAAAACTACCAGTTACTTTATCTGTAGTTTTTGTCCATTAATTCTGACAGCCCCTGTCCCACAAGAGAACAGGACAAGGGACTCGTGATAAAATATGTGACACAGAAAATAGGCTCATAGACGGTAAAACGTACGTAACGAATACAATGTTTTTAGAAAATCAAAGGATCTAAAACTGTCTGCTACAGTTCCTACACAAATGACATGAATATTGGTTTTAGTTGACTTTATTATGTTTTTATGCAGGAAGCATTTAGATGTTTAAATGGTTTTATGTGTAAGTACCAATACACTAAATTTTATATATCATTAGGTGAACAGAAACTTTATGATATTGGTAGGAACAAAAACTGTATATGCTGTAAATGATAAACAATTATGTGCCACTACAATAAAATCTCTGTATAAAAAGATTAAGACAAACATTCATACTCGGGAGGGCATAAATGTACATAATAAATGATGAGAAACAGTGGCATGCGGGATGTTCATGGAGATAAAACTCCTTAGTGTAATAAATGAGAGGCCAACTGGGAGAGTTGGCTTAGTTTGCTGTAACTTGACACTAGCAGCATTTTAGGCTATGTTCTTATTACAGGTTTTAATCTTCACTTCAATGTTTTTGTCAGATATGATCTTTTTATTTTGATGGTTCACATTCTTGTTTATAAGTGACATATATCCAGGTCTCATTTGAATGCCCTTGAGTTCCTGAATTGCTACTGTACTCACACCCAGATTTCACTGAATTGTGAGCGGCATATGTACAGGAATAACAACAATAATGTCATTTTTGTGACAGTAAAAAAACTGCTCGCTTACAAAATGTTCCTTCCTGTTTAGCATGATCAGAAGCTTCTCCACAAATGTCCTTATCTCTCCAATGAATCATAATCTCCACTGACCCTCATTGCTGCTGTTGCTTTTCTCTATGCGTTCTTTTACCGGTCTGTGAAGGGTGCTGACACTGAATGATGATGACAGGAGATGTGCACATGCACAGAGCAGTGAAACATAAAAAAAAAAAAGCACATGAATTCTGATCTAACTGTTCTGAGGCACAATCAGTTATTGGCTATGAATCAGATCTAGGACCATAAATGGAAGTGGCCCAGGTCTGATTTGAAAACATCTGCGCACACATCAATAAAACAACCTATTCTGAATCACTTGGAGGGATCTGAGTCACTTCAGCATGTAGTCTGAATGCACAGTTAGCTCACATGTTGAAAACAGTAATGTCTCAATATGCTAAAGGCTTTAAACTTGAACTTTACAGCTACACAGTATAGACATGCTAAGGTTGGAGGCCTTTCCAGCCTATTACAATGGAATAATTGTGTCAGCAACAATTTCATGTACAGATGTCCCAGTTACAGCAGAAATGCACTATTGAACTGCATAAGAACCACTATAGTGTCCAACCATCTTTGTTCCTTGACTATAAAGTCTGAGAAAATGGCAGCAATCCCAAGTTGGCAAAGTCAAACCCAGTGGGAGAAATCAGTTCGCCTGTCTGCTCGTGTCCAGACTAAAAAGTGGAACTGAATGATGAACAGCAACAAAGTGGAAAGCTCGCCCACTTGCCAGAATATTTTGTTGTTGTGGGCCAGTGCAGAGGAAGCGCTTCTCCTTCACATATCATCCACTGAAAATAGAAAACAGTAGCAAACTAAATAATTAATCCAGTAATTATTATAGAAAAGACGCGGCATCAGCTGAGCAACTGAGCCAGCCATAAACCTAATGCGTAGTCCTATGATATTATCAGATTAGAAATGTTTACACTCTCAGCCTGTTTTTATTTGTTGCTTTAGAAATGTAATTGTCACTTTCTCTCATTTAAATAAACGTCTTTCACCAATGTTATATTTAAAGTGATGTAACTTTAAAAGAGCACATTCTTTCTCTATTAATGACATGTTGACTTGGCCTGGATCAGTAGCTTGTGCTGGCTAATGCTAGCTAATGTTAGCATATTTTAAAATAGATAGTGGCATAATTGATGTTAATAACTGAGACTGGTGACTTCTCATTTTTCACAGATAAACATGAAGGTGTTTCTAAAGAAAATGCATCATTTTCTTGTAAATTCTAGTACCATTTTTTTAGTCTTCTTTTTCTCTTTGTGTTGAAACAGACAAGCGCTCACTTTAGGTAAGCCAAAAATACTCAGACTTGTTGGATTCATTTAAATAGAATAGGCTTGTCTGCTTACAGAATATGTGAAAGATTAATTAATTTCATCTCTGAGGAACAGTCTCAGGAATTGCCTCATATTATCTAACACTCTATCCAATTCCATCTTGAACTGACACAGTACCCACTGCGCCTATGTGAGTACTGAACCAGTTCCAGCTTTTCCATCCTTCCATATGTGGCCATTAGCAGAAATAATACTCTACACAGTGAGTGAAGCTGTCGCCATAGAACATTATCAGGATCCTCATTATCATTGTCTTCACTACAGCCCTTGTGACAGAAAACACCTTCACTGCACTTTAACACATAGTGTCCATGTTGAAATGCAGTCTTAAGTCATTCGTCCTCATAATCAGCCTCCTGTTCCACTTCAGATTCTCCCTTTATACTAATGGAGCGTGTCAAACATAGGGGATATTTCTGCTGTTTGCACATGTACTGTGATAAACACACATGCAGTTGGTATCTTTGGCTCCTGGATAGTCGGACTATTATTAAACCAATTTACAGTAAATAATAGTAAGATTTTGGAAAGATATTACTGACTACACTAACATTTTGTCTTTTTTTTCATATGTTCCTCGGTTTGGCGGAAATGTGATAGTGTCTGATCAATAGAGACAACATATCTCTTATGTTGCTCTTATCTTCTTGATACTCTTTGGTTATCAATATTATAGGTTGTGGCATCCATTATTTAATGTAGTTGGTCATAATGTCAAGAAATATCAGACATAAAACATTCTCTAACACTCATTTGATTTCATCTGTCAATATGTATCGAGCAGTAAAAGGTGCTCCTTCTATAATGTACAGTATTATAGACCTTTTCCTATCATGTATCCTTCCAACACTAACACGATGTTGTACTGCAGTACCACCTCTAGACATGTCTTGGCAGATAAATGTCATTGGTCTAAACATACTTTCTTATATGGGGTGTTCCATGGACAGCCAAATGTGTGCTGCTCTGTTGCTCAGCTGATCTATTTCAAATGACACCCAGAGAGCAGCAGGGCAGTAAACCCTTCATGCTGTGACCCCCAAACCCTAGACAGTGGGAATGAGAAAAACTGAGAATATCAGAAATCAGAGGGCTTTTTGAATAAACCAGGTCCTTCAGACATGTTGTTTTTGAAGTGGAGTGAACATCTCAAGGCTTGTACCAGTTTGCTGTAGGGTAGTTTATTTTAGCTTGTACCCTGAAGCAAACCTATAACGCAGTCAGATGTTTCCTTCCGGTCCAGGATAGTGGACTGTGACCAAATAGTTTTTCTCTTCAGGCCACAAATACTTGTAGTTGTGGAGACGTGTTTCCAGAGATTTGACAACAATTCACAGACACATTTGCTGCTTATTTAAACAGCCTTGCAGATGGCTGTGATTGGAAGACTTCTAAACTCTTAGGAGATTCGAGTGCAGGCAGCAGCGCACATTGCCTGACAGTCCACATGGCCAGTTGCTCTGTGTGCATGCATGCACATACACAAAGAAAGTGCTTTCCACAAGCTGTTGGCAACATCCCAGAGCAGGATTCAAGTTGAGTGTCTTTTTTTGCAGAGGAGGAGATGCAGCTGCGAGTCAGCTGCCAGAACTGGCTCATATTTCCAAAGCATTAGGATAATTGCATTGAACAAAGATGACTTTTGCAAAGAAGATC